GAAGTAACAACCAGCCTTTGATCTATAATTTCCTGTGCTGTTGCTAAACACACACTGAATGTTTTTTTTTTACTTTTAGAAGGTTTACTGAGGCTCTGTAATGTTACTTTTGAGATCAATGGACTGATTTAAGAATAACTAAAGCATTAAATGCTGGGAAAATCTTACACTGGGGATCAGGCATAATGATGTTCTGGAGAATACACTGCCTCGTGTCCAGCTAGAATCTTGCATGTTATGGTAAATATAACTCCATTTGCTTAAATTATAAAGAATTCTATTAAGCTGCTATGTTTGCTTTTACACTAACTGGATGGTCTGGGCTCATCTCATCCTTCTCTGAATATCCGGTGAACTGGCTCCCTGATGCTGACATAGATGCTGACATATTGTCCATAAGCTACAGCATTGCACAACGCCCATCTGAAGCCATGGCAGTTTGTGGATGGAGCAGAGAAAATGCAGATGCTTCAGAACCCTCTTCATGAACACAACCTCCAATTACTCTATAAGAAGATATGTGTGCTAGATGTCTGGTGGCTTACTGCTGTCCTGGGATGCTTTTGGACATTTCATCCTCTGTCAGAGCCTGTAAAACCCAGTGTTCAGACTCATTAGTGTTTCTTACTTCAAAGGTGGAAACACTGCATCTTTCTGCATGGAGATGAAAACCTGCCCTGCAGTACTTTTCAGGTTATATCAGAGATTTTCCAGTTAGAAACCCTTGTGGAAATAAATCCATCACTGAGGTATACAGGAAAGAGCATTATTTCAATATGTTTGAACGGTTCTCTGTGTAACAAAACAAATCCTGAGACATGTGAGAGCAGCCTGAAACCCTAAGGTCAAAATTACCTCCAATTCATCTGACAAAAACAATGACCCTTTCCAGTATTCTGTTTCACTGGTGCAGTACAAACCAGATTGGTGCTGTTTTCACAAAGTTTCCAATTTTGTTTGTTTTGAATTTATTTCTCCATACTGCTGGTCTTATGTGTGACAGAGTAGACTGAAGGGGCACTGGCAACCTCATCAGTTTCACAGCACAATGGTATCATTTTCCAGTACAGTTAGATTTATTACACTATGGTCCTATGAAGTGGTTTGACATGCTTTCAACTAGTTAAATAACAATTTGATGGGATGTGAAAACCACAGGAGTCAGGAAGAAGGTAATGGTCTGTGAGTGGGCCTTATCGGTCTTGCTACACTGACATGGTTTCAAGGGGAGCTAAATACAACACATTTAGAAGCCTCATGCAAGAAGTGATCTGGGTTGGGCTTCACGTGGGAGTAGAGATTTCTGTTCTGGTTGCCAATGGCTATGTTATACTAGTGTTTGTTGCTTTGGTACTTTGTAGAACGTGGAAGAAACCACAAAGAATCCTTCACTAAAGGAGGAAATGATGTGTGGGAATGTGGAGCCCTAGGTCCTTGAAGAGGAAACAATAACATACCTCCTGTTTTGTAAGCAATGATTTTAGTTTAGAATTAGTGTTACTTCAGGCTAACAGAGTAGCCAATAGCAGGAACTGGAGGCAGTAATTTTTGCATGAAGTTAGGACTGCAGCAGGTATCCCTTAGGATAGGCACAGCATGAAGCTGTAGAAATGTCTCGTGCAGAACAGTGATTAGCTTTATTCTCGAAGCAGCCTCCTTCCATAGTAGCTGGATCAATTGGCTATGCACATGCTGTGGTTGCTTTTCATTTTGCTTCTTTCAAAACATATAGAACCACTTGTATGGTGACTGCAATTTCAGCACTGCTACTAATTCGGCATCACCATTTCACTATTATCTAATAAAAACCCCTTTATTCTCTGATGCAAAATGCATTTTCAACTCTGAGCTCCTGGTAAAATGTCTTACATTAATGAAATTATAAATAGCAAGTGCCAGTTCTGTGCCAGTTCTAACAGCACAGAAAAGAACACATTGTGAAGGAAAATGCACCAGGTTTTTGTCACCCAATTTTGTTGTTTATAAAGCAAGTGCTTGTGAGAAAGACAATTCCCATTTCATAGTTCAATTTGAATACAGCCGTTGTATAAGCCTTTACTCTTATTTCATCACACATCCAGGCAAGTATACACAGGCACACATGCATGGTGACAAAAGATGTCTGGCAGACCTATTTTCATGTCTTGCTGTGGTGACTGTGTATCGATACAGTACATTTTTTACCTATGCAATTCAGAAAGCACCATCCATAGTTCTTTAAAATCAGCCTGTTAGCAAATGACTAGTTTATGTGAAAACAACAGTCAGAAGATAAGATGGCTTCAGTGTTCTGAAAAACTGGGAGTCAGCTAGGAAGGGATTTCCATTCAGACCACTTTGCTAATGTGAACGTTAGACCACAGAAAGCTTTATCAAACAAAATTTAAGTTGAAGCATAGAAGACATCTAAATACACTTGCATCTTGCTTTCAGGTTTTGGTTGAAAATAAACTGTGTATCTTGTATGTTTAGAAATGGCCTGTTCTGCTCTGACTTGCACAGAAGTGCAAGTCTAAGACTTTAAAATAGAATTAAAATTATGTTGACTTTTGCTGCATTTTTGAAATGACTTACTTGTGTTTTGAAGTGTTTTGCTGGTGTGTGCATTGAGTTTACTAACACTGTCCTGACCTTGGCGATGGTGTGGTATTTTACAGTGTGCAGTGACATTCATGTGCCCAACTTGGCTCCAATAAATAGGTTAATTTTCACAAATTATATGTCAGTTTTGAAACAGTACAAGATGATTTAATAATTCTGTATTTGGCCTTTTGGATTCACCACTGGGGCAGTTCATTGGGCAGTCCTGTCCCAGCTACAATTCTACACAATTTTTTCAGGTATAAAGGGTCAAGCTAAAAGTGTTGGGGAAAGAAGTAGATAGGGTCAAGCTAAAAGTGTTGGGGAAAGAAGTAGATTCATATTCTTGCACACCAAAACCCCAATACACGGCTCAATTAACAACTGACAAATTTATGCTAGAGGAATGAGTTCAAATTTGGATGATACTCCTTATACATCCCAATAGGCTGTAATGGTAATGATGGGCAGCATAATTGAAAGCCCTTACAGTTAGTACAGAGTTACTACTCAGACAGTGGGAATAAGATTCAGAAATGTTCAACTGTAGATGCTGGCCAAAACTTCTTTTGGTTTTCAGAATCTAGCCATGGCTCATCTGGATTTGGATTTCACTTCACACAAACATCTCCTGGCTATTAGGTGCCAGCTCTGGTTCTTTAATATGACAGGTTTTAAAAAATAGTGGTCTTGAAGCTCCCCTTTCATTTGGCCTGAATTCATGTAATTTTGCTGCTACTAAATCACACAGTAATTTTTACAATACCTGTTTATATAAATCAGACAAGAATCAGAGGATCTATACGTGACCTTAAAATAAACTGAAGCCTGTGATTAAAATGAATAGATATACAAAGCTAGCAATGAGAAGCAAGCACACTGATTTAAAATATTGTTCTTACAATTATGTTGCTTGTTCAAAGAACAGTTTATACATGTTATAGTTGGTAGCTAAACTGCAATTTAGCTTAAATTTCCAGACTCTGATTCCAAGTTGTTCTTTATTTTGTTTTTTAAGTAATGTATCTGAAGTTACTTCTGCTATGTATTCTTATTCTTGGGTAAGCTTTCCAAAGGATATGAGTCACTTCTCCATTATTTGCAAAGAATATGGAAAAAGTAAAATATTATTATTTTGTGGGTATTTGGAACTGAATGTGAAATAAAAAAAAGAAAAAAAAGGTGGGATGTTGATCATTGTGAGTCATTTCTTGGGAAGAAGGAAAGAACAAACACTAGCTGCTGACCTACAGCTATGAAAGCCAAGGACTTAATGCTGACTCAAGAAATAAATGTTGCTAGCTGCAGAACATAAAGGAGACCTTGCAGCAGGATTAAAGACGAAAGTCTTTCCTCTTTAAGTAATACAGAGTTACAGGGAGCTGCCTGTGTTGACTTCTTGGAGGCTGTTCCTTGTTTAAACATTCTTCTAGCTTAAACATGTTAGCCAGTAGGAGCTATATCCTGCAAATAGTTGCTGCTGCAACTAAATGGTTCTCCTTCTGAGTTTTCACAAGTCCTGGCAAATCTTCAGGTAGGTCATGAAGTGCAAGGCTGAGCTTCATAGCACTGAGGTAGCTACACCAGTAACTCCCAGTGCACCCCCCTACTGTTTCTGAGTCCTGGTTGGTATAGATACTGATATAACATAAATACTCTATAACACATTTGCATTCTGATCAACTAATTGAACAGAACCTATTCTGGTATCAAAACTGATGTTTGAAAGTGACTTGGTGTCATTGTGGCCTTTGTGTACTTTATTGATAGCAATCAGCAGCTGCACTGAAAACTACTCAGTACTTACATTTGCAACTACACAGCGTACCAGTAAGGCATACACAACACAAAAGACAATGAATTTCATAATTATGAATTAACCGTATTTCTGATTTGCCCGTTCTTGTCTAGCTGCAGTGGATACACTATGATGAACTCTACTAATTATTTTTTGCAGGTGTGTTCAATTGTTTGCTGCATTTTGGTTTTTAATGAGGAAAGCTTCTTTCCAAATACAAGGATGCAGTTCCATGGCAGCCTGAGCCAATTTAAGCCATGCCTACTACTTTTCTCTGCCTTTTCTCATTCTCTTTCTTTGTGATGTCTTTGTGCTAGCACAGGCACTTTAGCAACTCAGTAGTGGGCCAGTTCAGAGTGCTAATCGAAAACTAATTCTAAACACTGATTCCAGTGCTGGTAAGTGATGAATTGGGAATGAGCAGCAGGATAGGATTGTCAGGAACATGGCAATCAGTATTTACGTTTGAAAAAGCTGCTGTGAAACTGACTCTGAATGGAGGTTTTCATGAAGAAACAAGTATAAAAATGTGCTCTGTCATTACAAAGATTTTTTTTTAAGACTTCCAGTAAATATTTAAAATTCATAATCTTACTAATGCTAATAAAAGTAGTACATGCTCTGTGATCTTTATAGGAGTTTATTCACTGTTACTTCAAAGTAAACCTAAAGCATTGTTAACAGCTTGGATGCCACAGCTCTAACAAGTAAAATGCCACATTAAAATGTTCGCGCTTTACCAAAATTAGTGTGGATTTTTTAAAGCATGAATGTTTAACAGTCCAGCAGTCCACCCTGGAATGTTTCCTTAGGGATGCAAATGGATCTGTGTGCCTAGCTGTTATTTCATAGTGTCAGTCAGAGGGCTCACGTGGCCACTTCAGATCCTTGAAAAAGGACCCTTTGCAGCTTCGGATTTGAAAACCATGTTCAAGTTGCAACTCTGGCACAGCTGATCTCCAACCAATAAACCGCTGGGTAGTCTTAGGTACTGGAGGAGATGGAAGCACCTAAAATAAAAGTAACATGTAGAATTCAATGATTAAAAGGATTTTGATTGTAGTTTCTCTCATGCAACATCCTCTTTTGTACTGTAGTGTGGAGGGAAATGAAAACTTATGAAAAATAGTGCTTTTAAATGCAATTTGCTGAATTAAATATATTGAGCACACACTGACATCAGTGTTAAGAAATAAGAACTTTGAAAGATAGCCCAGTTGCAAGCAAGTTTGATTTATAATACATGATAGTTTATAATTTAGAAAGTAATTAGAATAATTTAGGTTGCCTTCTATAGCAAGGCACAGGGAAAGAGAGGAGTAAACCTGCCAAATTCCAATGAACTAACTAACTTTCATTTACCACCCTTCAGAAAAAAACAGTCTTTTAGTGCCTAAACTGGTACGTTTAACAGGAAATCAAAACCCAAAATATTATTTAGTATTGTATGTTAGCATACTTAAGTTTTATTCCATATCTTTCTAAAGGCTTTACTGGCTTTATGTTATTAGAAGAATCCTATCTTCAGCTTTAAGTTTTTTCTTTAAATAATAATAATACTTTAAAACTAGTTAACTTCTATGGGAGAAATAGCATTTTATACTTCCTGTAATGTATCTGGTAGCAATGCAGAGATGGAATAATAGTTTTGTGGCCAAATGCTAAAGATACTACTGACCAAGCTGCCTTTTGCATCAAGAACTACTTACTCATTCCACCTTCTTTCTACTTTAAAGGATGGGTAAGCATCAAATTAATCTGCAACTAATCTAGCTAAAAAGGAAACAAAACAAAAGCCAACCGACTCTGTTCACTGACTGCTGTGCTTACTTTGGCTGAATCATCTCAATTGGGCACATTATATCATTTTAGCATCTGGGGACTTAAAGAAACACACAGCAAGAGAACAATGTTTCAGTTCTCTTGCCAGAGTTGCTTCACTTTGTTCTTTGGCCAAGATTAGAAAATGTTTATGATATTTAGGTGGAGCAGTTCCTCTGAAAAGATAATTTTTATGGCCAAAAGTGCCACCCACTGAGCAGGATAATGAAGGAAACCATGTCCCACTTGCAGTCTGGGGGAAAGGACTATGAAAAAGCAATTATTAATCTAACCTAGAGAGAAGAACAGATATGATGACTGTTACCATGAAGGTAATTGTTCGAAGAGACACACAGTTCTGTATAAGGACCATGAAGGTAAATGTGCGAAGAGACACATAGTTCTGTATAAGGACTTGGAAAACTTCTCTCTGAATATGTAAGGGGGACCTAAACCACAAGTAATCTATCTTCCTTAGCAAATAATGACTCTGAGGTGAGATGGAAGCTACGATCCTTGTTCAGTATGCACTAGGCTATGCATGCTACTTCAGCAGCTGATAGCTGTCTGCATGATTTGCTAACACACACATACACCCTCACTGTGCTGAAGCAGAGGTAAACTTGACTGAAATTGGAGTCTTGAGACAAAACTGAAGAACAAGTAGCACTAATGGCAAAAATGCTGCTATTTAATTTCTCTGCCACACTCAGCACTAACTCTTTCGTTTCGATTTAATCTCAGTAAAAGCTTTTACTACTTCCTCGCTTTATTTCCCCACCCTTGGAATCCTTTGAAAGAAAGCTAGTTCAGCAAGTAGGAATTTCCAATCTCTTCTGTTTCCTTAATCTACTCTAAGTGGACTAACCTTCCTTTTTGTTAGCATATTCTGCTTCCCCTTTTATGAATATGGTCCTCTCTCAATGTCACTGATTTAGCTGCCTGTGTAGTTACACTACTCACTGGTGATTCTGACACATTGTAAGTCGAATGATCAGTCACATTCCACTCTCATTTCCAGCTGTTTGACAACTTTTAGACTGAATATGTGAATATAACTCACATAATATAAAATCAGATAGTTATTAACTGGCCCATTAGAACTGGCTTCTTACTAATTTTTGCTACTAAAGAGGACAGTGGCATTATCTCTGACAAAAAGAAGACTGTCTTAAAGCCAGAAAAATGGCTGCATCTTAACCAATAGTTAAAACTGAGTTAGGTTTTGGTAAGACTTGAAGTAATACAGATGTATATATCTAAGCAATGGCTTGTCAGCAGCCATAAACAGCTCTGTGATCACCATTCTGCACTGAGCTGCACTGTTGTGATACTAGATGGAGTGTATGGGGGAGGTGCTTTACAGAAAGATGATTATATACAGTGATTTATGTACAGTGAAAGCTCTGTGAACTAACAGCCATATCCAAAGGGCAATTCCTTGTCTTAAATGAATGCTTTTAAATCATTGCTCAGATTGCAAATACAATTTACTTTGACCTTTAGTTAAAGGCCCACTTCTACAAGACAACTGATTTTAGAGCTTGTGTGTTTTCTTAAGACAGGTACTGCTGCATGGCAATTTTAAAATCTAATTTTCTAACCTTAATGTATTTCTCCACAGGTGTCACAGGTCGAACCTGCAGATGTTCTGGAAGCTCTATCTTGGGGCTTGTATTTTCTTCCTTTTTATGGTGAATCAACTAAAACCAAACCATCAATGTTAAATGTTGGAATTTGTCTTTTGAAATATGCTGTAATATCTGATATTGACACCATTCTCCTCACTGTTGCATCTCAATTTCCTGTTCTTTCCATGTAAAACAGGGCTACTTATTGTAGTGCTTTGGAAACTATTGTAATTTTTTTTTTTTTTTTTGGTTTCAGAAAGTGATATAATTCTGAATTTCAGATGAAAGGCTAAATATTGCTGACTGATTCCAACTCTCTTAACTACATCACTGCCCCAAAAGGGCTAGAAAGGTACCTTCACACGTATCTTATATGACCACAAAACAAAGATTGACAAATGCTAAATACATATGTTCACCAATAGTAACAATAGTAACAAACAAAAGTTTGTCAACTTTTCAGCTGTAGCCTGTGCAAAAGAGATGTGCATGATGGATATTGAAGCCTAAAGGGCCAAAGTTTTCCAAGATGTTAACTTGGATGCCTATAGGAATTTTCAAACACTCCTAGGACAGGTTAAGTACTTCTAGCGCCATGGAAAATACATTTATAATTATTCGGGGGCTGCACCAACCCTGTTCTTTAGCAATGAAATACTGTGATTCCAAATGTACATTATGTTCTACTATATTCTAGTATCTAAACAGCACTGAGAATAGACATCTCTCCAAGTATTTTCTTGTAAATTCCCCCACTGAAAATTTCATTAGCTAGAACCTTCTCCCTTAGACTTTTAAGCTACCATATGGATAGACAAAGGGGAAATATTTTCCTGTCAGTGTGCCTCTAGTCCTCGTTAACACTATTGGAAGTCATGCTTCTCAAGAGAAATATATCAAAATATGCACAGCATATAAATTACGGATTTTATTCAGAGGAAAAGTGAAACTTTGAATCCATCTTAAGAGTAGTGCACTTGTTACCTCGGAACTTGGCTTAGTAAAGCACACTCAGTGCTTTCCTAGTCACTTGTGTTCTCATAATTTACGTCTACATCAATTTGCATGCAATTTCATGTGTTTCTTGTAGGCCATTCATTTTTACCTCGTCAACAGGTGTTTTCAAGAATCCCCATTTGTGAGACCATTTTTTTGCAGCCTCTAGTTCAGTTTCAATGTATTTTTTCCTGAAACAGAGAAATATTTAAATTACTTTGAAAACTTCCATTAAAATAAAAGGAAAAATGCAAACCCAACTACTACTGTCGCAAGGCACGACACTTCAGCATGAAGCTTGAGACCTTTCCCCCATAATCATCAAGTCTATGCATGAGTTAACAGCTTTCTGACTTGGAAGTAATGGGGAAATTAAACAGTAGGTATGAAAGCACTTGCAAATTACGTTCCTGTTGGGAAGTGGAGGAGGTCAAAGGTGCTATGACACACACGGAAAGTGAGTATCCGTGCCCCTCCATACATCCTCTCGGTTTTACTGACCGATGAAGGGCCCCTTGCCCGGGCCCACTGTCCCTCCTCACCCGGCGGGAAGCACTGCAAGCCCGCGGCCATCACTCGCTTCGCCGGTTCAACCCGGGCTACGCCATTCAGGGGGCTGAACCCCCGGGCGTTGCGCACCTGGCGTCCTGCGGGTGAGCCCACGCACCGCGCGGACGGACACACGCGAAGGGTGTGCAAATTCCCTCAGCCTCCGCCCGCCTGCGAGCGGCACCTCCCCCGGGCGGGAGGGGAGCGGAGCCCCGGGGCCGTTACCAGCAGCTGTCCTGCTCTGTCTTGTTGCGCGACTTCGCCAGGTCGCTGCGGCTCTGCGCCATACCCGCGGCACGGAGCGGCCCGGCCGGGTCCTGCGGGTCGGGCGTTGCTGGGCAACGCAGCAGGGGGCAGTGCTCGTGCCGGCGGCCGTTGCAAAAGGGCGGGAAGGGCCGTTGGTGCTCTGAGGCGATGGTTTGCCCCAACCGCCCCTTCCGTTTGGCGCGGTGTCGGCCCGGAGCCCGCGGCTCTCAGGTGAGCGGCTGAGCCCGCCCCCCGGGGGTTCTGGTGTCCCGGAGGAAATCAGTCTATGCTCTGTGGTGTGTTTGGTTTTAAAATGCTTTTCAGTAGGAAACCGTTTGGAGTCACCGTCCTGGAAGGGCTCACAAATGTGTAGATGAGGTCCGCAGTGACACGGGTTAGTGGTGGCCTCTGCAGTGCTGGGGAGCGGTTGGACTGGGTGATGTTAAAGGTCTTTTCCACCCCGGTTGATTTTATGATTCAGTGATTAAGCAGGTGAAAAGCTGGTATCTTGCTTGAGGAGTTAGCTGAGTTTCAAGGGAGAGATGTTCTCTAAACTTCACAGCTTACTGATTAGCCAGGCTCCCCTTGGCAGAAAACAAGTATTTGGACACCTTTTGGGATACTGAGTTGTTAGGAGTCTTTTTTTAAACCTGGACAAGGGACAATGCTACAGCCAAAAACTAGTAGTGTATTTAATTGTTTGTAATGGACATGAGAAATGGTTGAAGGATGATGAGTCCCTATCTTTATAGGGATCTGCTTGTTAACATGTCCAAAGCTCAGACTGCATGTGCTATGGTGGGTGTTTGCTTCTATTCCCTACTTTTTTTACCCTGCTATCTCCACTCCCTAGTTTCTCTCATTATACACCAAAATTGCCTTTTGGTAATTGTAGTGGGAAATACCATCAGTATTGTGACATACAGTGTTTTTGTGATCTCTTTTTTTCTGTCAGATGTTGTCCTTCATAAGCTCTATGCTAATATTAGAAGTTCTGGGAAAGACCTCAACATACTTCAAGGGTTACATGTGAGAACCCAAAAAATACTTAGAGTCTGTAATAAGTTCTCTATGCTCCAATATATTAATATTTTTGGCTTTCTATCACTTTTTTTTTTTTTGTAATTTTATTTTCTTGCAGTTGCTTTGTAAAACATTCCAACAATCAATGTAGCCAACTGGCTCTTTGCCCTTACGGGTTTAAATAGTTCCCTGACCCTTTCCTTTCTTTTTGTCTGGAAACTGGCTTGTGCAAACACACTGTAAATAGTTAATGTGACTCTGTCACACCACTGGACAGTTATTATCCTTATTATAAAATAAATGCAGAAAGGTTTTGACCTAAGCTGAGTGTTTTATAGGTGGTGTGTTGGAATGCTTAATTGCTAGCTTTTTATTTGTATTTTTTTTATAGAGCAAAGGATCTAAAGACCTAAAATATTTGAGTAGGAGAAGGCTGTATATACATTTATTAGTCACTTTTGAAGTACTAAGAACTTCTATTTGAGTAAGAAGAAAAAACTCCTCTTGTCTGAAAATAGCCATTAATGCTACGCTTCTGGGTCTCTCAACATCATTAAACTATCAACAGATAGAATATTTCACTCGCATGCCATTTCTTGATGCTGTAATTGATAATTAGACTGGCAATTAAATCAGCTGGGTCTCCTCTCACACCCAGAATCGCTTACTCATTGTCCTACTTAATTAACTCCTGCTGCTTAGTCACACTTGTATCAGGAGTCCTCTTACTACAGCCCTGATGCTTTCTGTGGGGAAAAAAAAAAAAAAAGTTAATGAAAACAATGAAATCCATAGTTTAGTATGTGTCAGGATTTAGTATGTGTCGAGAGAATGAAACTTCTTACACTAACGTTGTGAAAATAGAGCTTTATAATGTTCAGTCTTTCTCTTTTCGTACTTAACGGAATTATTTTTCAGTTAAGGTAACACAGTAAATAAGCAGTTAGTTGTAGGATGCAGTAAATCAGTATTTAGTTGTAGGTCTTATTAGGCTCTTATGAGCATAGGACAATATTAGAATTGCACTTTCACTCTGAGAAGAAGTGAAATAGGATTTTAATGAGTTTATAACTATATTGAATGACTTGGCGATACAGGTCCATTTTGATTCAGAAGTCATTTGCTGAAAGTCTGGATCTTGTAGCTTACCTACAGCAGCATTTGTCATCACATGACAAATATTGAAGTAGATACTACATCACTCACGACACATGTTTAAACAGAATCAAGTTTAAACACTTGATGCTTCAGATCTTCTAAGATGGGTAAATCCTAACCTGGATATGGCCATAAATGCTGAAATGTCAGTGCTTCCTGTCCTCTTCCAATTAGGAATTATCCAATTATTCAATATCCAATATATATGCTCAGCAGTGCTGCTGTTGATCAAGTGGCTATTCTTCAAGAACTCACAACTGTTCTTCAGGAATTTACAACCTGTTTATATCTTGAGAGCTGCAGATAGTATCTTGAGTTTCAGATATCCTTTCACTTGCACAGGACATCATCCTGCCACTGGGGAAGTGGTTTCAGTCTTGATTTTTCACGGACCTTGTACTCCCTTCTCCCAGCAGACAGTAGACGTGCTTGCGGTGCTATGTTCAGATGGAGGCTAGGGTACTGATAGAGATTAAAACTAACCATGTGGAAAACAATCTGCTTTAACCTTAATACAGTTTTCTGTGTAGCTGTACAAATGCCTCTACCAGCACATGGCAGGGCAGTGTGAGAGGGTTTGGCAGAGGGCACTTCTGGAAGATAATGCTAAGTCCTTGTGTTTACAAAGCTACAAATTTAGGATGTTATGTTGACACAAGTACAGGTGGTACTGCTCTGCAAAATAGGTCAGAGAACCAAAGTGACTTAAATAGACTCTGCAGAAAGCTCACTGTTTTAATCTGTTTCACAGAACACTCCAGAAGCAGCTGTGCTTCTGCAATCAAGACAGCAGACAGAATGGAGACAGGAAAAGATGATGCGTGAGCTGAAGTGAACAACCCAGGGTAGGTGGATATTTTAAACCTCTACTGCTGCAAAAGACTTTGTGTCATGCAATGATGGTTTTGTTAGTGTCATTCATGGTCTCCAGGGTTTCGGTTAATTTTTGGTTTCTGGAAATCTCTCGTGTCTACCTTGATCTGAAAATGTTAAGGCTTTTTTATATTCCTTATTTATGGAGAAAAATGTCGATATTGGCACACAATAGCTTTCTGTGTGATAATCTTTGAAGTTATTTGAAAGGAAAAAAAATCTGTTCTCTTTTGGCTCTATGTAAGTATTTGTAAGTGCTGTTTATGAGCATCTCTACTCCCACTGAGCTTGCTGAGATTTGATTCTAGTTGATACTTGGGCTCAAGTGCTAAAGATGTAGGAATAAAATACCTTATGCTTTGTGGTGCTCTAAACTAGCTATTCTGTAATTTTTAGTTACAAGGCTGGACCTAGACCCTGTCCTAGATTCCAGCATTATGCTATCAACTGTGCAGGTTTATTGCGCTCAATGCTGTTGCCAATTGGAAACTAGAATTTTCTGCCTTTCATCAGAGAATGGGTAGGAAAGCTAAAGGAAGAGCTCATTTTTTGTTGTAAAGAGGATTTTTATTTTTTTTTTACATTTTCTAGTTCTCAGGCAATAAGTTGTTATTTTATATTATTCATCGCAGAATGACAATTGGATCTAAATCCTTTATCTCTTCAGGAAGAGCTCTGTGTTGTTCAGATTGGACATTTGCGCACACATACCTTTGGGGGCTGGGTGTGTGTAAGTGAGAATTGTCTATGAGAAGTACAGAGTGATATAAAAAAAACTATTGCTATTTTACTGCCCTGTATATATAGAAGGTAAGCGAAGGCAGGGCTGGCTTGGGGCACTGCAGCACCTAATACTGTGGTTGGGTGAGATGGTCCCTGAGCATCTAATCTTGGCTGGGCTTAGAGGAGGTCCTAGACATGTTTTGGCTAAGGACTGTCTTGGTTCTTGGTAGTCTCAGGTGTGTAGCAGCATGGAAGTGCTTGGGAGACTCTTCATCCAGTTCTGTCCTTACCCCACATTATAACAGTGTACTGTATCATGAACTGTAGTAGCTGCCATAGTCAATGGGAAAGCACCAATGCAAATGACGAAGTATGAATGTTTTTCAACTTTGGGAGCTCAAAGCTTCCAAGATGAGAAGAATTTGCCACTAAATCAAGTTTTGAATTGTATACTTGTTTTCTAAATGCTTTTGCAACACACTAGCAACCGTAAAGATCTGGTGTAACAGAAATATATCTTCTTGTGAAGATATAAGCATTACAGTGATTGTTTCTTCATAGGAACAGCTACAGCACAGGGGGCCATGCAGCTTCTAGAGCTGTGTGTCCTGCTGGGATAGATGTTTGTAAATGTTGTATTCTATCAGAGAGGTTCAGACAGTGCAATGTAATACATGTACCATGAATAGCACATGCTAGTGATTTAGGGAATTGTCCCAGAGCTGTGTTGCAAACTCGTATGTGACTAGTAAGTCTTATACGTTCCTGTTGTGCTGCAGCTTTTGCAGGATGTCTAGCAGCTCTGTAGAGGCAACTGTCAGGGCTCTGACCAGGTTGTTTGATGGCTGGAGAAGTAGAACAAATGCACTGCACTGATGGGAGATAACAGCAGTGAGGGAGGGGGGAACGCTAATGTTCATAAGGAAGCCCACAATGGCTTACACCAGTTCACATTCTCTGGTTTGCTTTGTGAAGGCCTGCACTTCACACTCTAAGCACTGCCATCTTCACATCTAAAACCTTACAAAGCAGCTTCAATATTTTTTCCAGCTACACTGAGCTTGTTCCCCTCCAATGTCAGCAATTCAGAACCTCTGAAAATGAAGCTGTTTGCTGAGGCATTTACACATCCAGTTCTGAATTTGTGCTTAGGCTCTTGCATTGAAAATGCTTGCCAAAAAATATTAATTAGTACTGGCAGTTCTGTGCTTGTTGCTCCATGGTTTATAATATTAGGTGTGGAAGTCTAATAGAGGATATTGTAAATATAAC